GTTAGAAATCAAAGTAAACCACATAGACCTAATATAGGTAAAGGAGAAGAAGAATTTAATCATAAAATATTAACATCGCACGTCAAGCCAAGTCATTTTAATTCTGGAAGAGATTTTGAAGGTTTAACAAATGATCTTATAATAACGGCAATGATTAAGGCTTTAAAAAAATTTTATCACAGTGAAGAAAAAGTATTGAAATTTCCCAAGGAATTAAATGGTTATCAAAGAAAGCAATTACATCGTCAAGCTGATTTACTCGACTTGAAAAGTATGAGTTTTGGTGAAGGCGACGGAAGATTTTTGGTAGTTATGCGATATGACGTTGAAATATTTCATTAAATTTTATGAGAATTTATTTATTTTTTTATTGTACAATATTTTGTAATATTTTAAAGGGTATTTTATCAAATATTTTAACAATATATTTATTTATATTTATATATTACCAAATTGCTTTTAGCAGAGAAAAATTACTGTTATTTGTTCATTTTGAGTAACTGATTGGGAAACCAATTTGAGACTGTACTAAAAACCGGTGGTTTGGCTTGAGGAGAAACACATAAAAGGCTTAAATTAGTATTTGTACACTTCGTAAAGCTTCTTTTTTGGAAAGAAAATTTTTTTTCCTCCCCTATTAATAAAATTTGGGAAGAGCAGCAAGTATATGTTAAAATTCCCTCGAATAGGAAAACAAGAAAAAAGAAGAAATAATCATGTTTCGAAAAATCATAACTGTAAAAATTAGTGAAAAGAAAATCAGCTGCTAATTTTTAACTAAAGTTGATGTTATTTCATCCTCAAAATCTTTTATTTTTTCCAATTTTGAGTCATGAAAAAAATTCCCCTCACTAAAAACTGTATAACTCAACAATCACATGAAATAATAGAAAGCCAATTAATTACTTTATCAAATAAAAAAACATTCGGTACAAAATAATATTGCCAATTTCTTGTAAGGTCAAACCATGTTTCCCTTTTTTAAACTTTAAATTTTTTTATCTGAAATTTTTAACATGGAATTTTTTTAACAATTGTTCTGGCACAAAAACACACATAATAATTATACAAAAAAACATATCAATTCGTGGCTTAAATTCTGAGTATTATGGATATAAAATTATATGTATCCATATTTTATAGAACTCCATCAGTTAAAAAATAAAAGAAATTCGATTATTTTGAAAGAAAAATTTTAATGTAAAGTTTTTTAATCATTGTCCTAAAACCTAGATAATAATATGCTTCAAAATTTTTACATGGAATAGTTTAAAAATCCTTGGCCCTTTGATATAATTTTTTATAATGTGGCTTTGGATTTTGGTTACTTTCTTAGGAAACAAATTTACAGTGCAATTTTTTTCATTACACATTGTAACTAGAACTTAAAAAAATTAAAACTGTAATTGACAAGGTCGATGCCGATTCCGACTCTTTAAAACCATTTCTTTAAGGGTAGTGGTCGTGTGACATGTCACATCAATTGATTTTCTATGTTAATAAAGAGATGAATTAAAACATTTAAAGAAGGCAGTATATCGAATTTATTGTTATTTATTTTACTACAAAAATATAGCTTTTTTCTCAACATTAAGTCAGAAAAATGATTGGAAGTTTTCGTAGTAAGATTGGTAAGATTGATATGTGACTGATCATCAGAAAAAATTTCCATGCTGTTTACTATGGTGCGCGAAGTCTATAACCACCATTTACTGCGCCACGACGCCAAATTTCACCAAACTCAAAAAATGATTTAATTTGATTTATTATCAATTTTAATTATCAATAACATTGCTTGGAATTTTTCTATGAGATTTGTATCCCTTTACTGTAAATAAAGCTTCTAGACCTGTCAATCCATTTCTACAAACATCCATAAATCTATAAGACCTGTGAGCAAACTTTCAATTTTTTTTTGAGAGAAGCAGAATTCAATGTCAATGGAACAAGTTTTATCACAGTTTTCACGGGTATATTATTTCGCTGCATCCAAATAATTCAATAAAATAAAGTTCACAGTGGAACTTGGGTAAAAAATGACTTTATGACCATAAGATTCAATAGTTTCTTCAATTATATGGATTTTTTACAGCTACACAATACCAAATTTAGAAATGATAATCGTATGCTATCCTAAATTTAGACAAATGTGTTATATACTAAAAAGAAATAGAACTCAACCAATCAAAATTTTGACAAAATCTGTTTGAGTCTCAATCTATGCAATAATAGAGTGATTTTTTAAAAGGATTGACAGAAATGGACTTCTATTATTTCAAAAATCACATGCAAAAATGGTGGTTATGGACTTTGTGCAGAAAATTTTTATAAGCAATGGGAAAACTACTTTGACTTTACAAGTTTTTTTAAAAAGAACCTTTTAACAATCAAATTTTTTATCACGATATGATTGGATAGGTTCTGAAAAAGGATTTTGCAATAGTAAACATCTCACAAAAATTAGTTTTTGGAATACTTATGTATGAGGCTAACAACCCAGAGTGTTACGTAATTTTTTTTATCAACAGTGTCATAGTGAAATTCGTGTTAGCATGATGTACATTCAAAATGTTGCACTGATTTTTTATGCGTAATTTTAAGTAAAAAAACCTTATATATAGCTAAATTAAAGGATATTCTGATTATATAACATGTGTTGAAACTTTGCAGGGACATTCTTTAACACTTCTTTAAAATTCTTGTTCCATCCATTGCATCCGCGAATTTGACATATTTTACTTAGTACTAGCATTCCCAATATGGTATTACATGGCAGATGTGTAGTTTGCAAATTAGAGTAGGTTCTAAATTATGGAAAAATTACAGAAAGTAAAAATAAAGCAGAAGCCAGGAGGTGAGTGGATGAACTTGTTATCTTTTAAACCATTTTCAAGGTATAATAGTGAAAAATGCCAAATATGCATTTTGTAAGAAACTAAAACTGAAAATTTTAAAACAATAAAGGAAACTACTAAAAGAAAAGCTGAAGAAGGAGGATGCAACAAGGTAGTCATTCTATAATTATTGATTAAACTAATAGTTTTGTATAATATATTTATTTATATATCTATTTCTTATTATTAGATAAATAAATGATGGATAGTAGAAAGTTGTTTCTATAATTATTGTTAAATTAATAAATTTGTATAATATATTTATATCTAATTCATAGATAATAGAAACAAGGTAGTTGTTCTATAATTATTGTTAAATTTGTATATATAATATATATCTATTTCACAAGTAATAATTGTTCTCTAATTTAATAAGTTTGTTACATTTGTATATTTATTTCGTAAATAATAGGCTAGTTTGTTCTTAATTATTGTTAAATTAATGGTTTTGTAAAATTTGCTTCCGATATCTACTTGATAAAACTTGCACGTCGCGAAGCCTCTTCTCAATATTAAAGATTTTGTGTAATCTGTTCGAATAACGAAGAACAAAAAATTACAATTAACACTAAATCTAGGCGAGTTTTGTATTGACAATTAGATTTTATTGTTATTATTTTTGTGACCATTCCGTTGATTGGACATAGTTGATGACCATCTTAAGAGTAAAACTAAAAAAAAATCTGAACATCAACAACAATTCCAACTTCAACAACACTTGTTGCTTCTCTTTCTTTTTCTGAATTTAAAAAACTATAATTCATGATTTAATTGAAGCCTTTGCTATAGCAGACATCCACTTAATTTTTTAAAAAAACATTTACATGCAGTCAATTATATGTAACTCGCATTTTCTCATACATTTAGAAATCTTAAAACTCTTTTTGGGCAAAACCTGTTGCCACAGCATTATTATAAATGAAACTACCGATGCTTGTCAAAGAAGTGTAATTAGTATTCTTTTTATATACTTTAAAAATATTCACACGTATAAAAAATATGATATCTCATCTTTTTCCCATGGATTCTGCTACATATACGAAAAGTGTTATCATGAATTTTAAATTTGATATATGTGTGAAATTGAAATTGAAATCTCTAATTAGAATTTTGGCTAATTTGAATTTCATGTATATAGATAATTTTTTATTGATCGGCGTACATTGATTGAGCAAACATTATTATTAAAGAAACACTAAAAAGCCCAGTATGTAGTCATCGATATATAGATCAGTTACGGTTTCATGGAGTTAATCGCAAAAAATTCCCCTTTCTTTGTAAAACATGATGGAATTCTTGATTTTATTATACAAAGGATCGCCTTATGTATTTTTTTCAAGTCGAACATGAACTTGGCGAAACAGAAATTATTATGTCTCTCCTTTCACTTCACTCGGATTTATCTTTCAATTGTAATTTGACGCTCGAGGGGTTTTTTGGTATATAGAAAAATTCTCAAAAAGTAAAAGAATTTATAGTGACCTTTTGTTTTTTAGATTCCAAGAATTTTACATATAAAATAAAATGTTGAAAAATTAATTTTTTTGGAATTTTACCTAAACTTTTTTAACATTCAATATCACTAATGAGAACTATCTAAGTTTCAAGCTTTAGCGAAAAGGCATATCTTTTTATTATTATCAAAATACTTTTTTTTGTTATTAATCTTCCCACAGCGTATACCAGGATAATATAACCTTTGAAAATTATATCTTTATATGTGTCGTGAGATTCTATTTTAAGAGAAAAACTTACCCGATTATTTATGGAAATTATGAACTCAATAACTGAACATTGGAACAATTTTTATATATACAAAGGAAATTCTTTTTAATTGTACCATGTGAAATGGGATTCTCAAAGCAGAATCTACTGAAAACAAAATTGTAACAAAGAAATACGTATCTTTTTTATACCAATAATAAATGCAAATAAATCCGGATTGAATCCGGTCACTATAAACAGAAAAACCGGTTCTTAAACTACTGTTTTGTGCCTGTAAAGAAACGATCGGCAATTTATTTTCATAGAAGTTTTTATATAAACAGTACTTATCATAATAATTCCGTAATACTACTTTATCCATCACTAATACTTAAAAAGAAAATGACTCAGGTGTTTATCTAAAAAAATTATAATAAAGACAGGCCTGTCTATAATCACATCATGACTAGACTGCTTTTGTTCTTTTCGACAAAATATGGTTTAAATCATACTTTCAGACGTGTGATTATAGAAAGGCCTGATTGTACATCTTATTATACAAAATCACATTTTTACTTACGTGTCTTGTTTTGTTTAGGGCAACCATGCGGATATTAAAAAAAGGGACATTCGTGAAATGAGTCTCGCCGAGTTAGAAACCATCCGATGGGATCAAAATGAAAAATTTACTGATTATATATCAAGATTTCGTGGGCTTGTTATTGATGCTGAGAGGGTTGATGTTACTGAAATAACTATAATAAATTTTTTTTTGAAATCTCTCCCACCCAAATTCGCCGACTTTATTCGAGAACGAACCACCGATCAAAAGATTCCCAAATCCACTTTGAAGCAAGTAATGGATTTTGCCGAAAACAACGTCAACGAATTCTACAATGAAACCATTTCGGAATCGCTCTTGTCATGCAATAAATTGTGGTAAAAATTTTTAACAATGGTTAAATGTTTGCAAAATATGTCAATTTGATCCTTAACCAAAATAGAGCGTTTTACAAATATTTTACTGCATGTTTAACCTAGGTCAAATTTGATTTTTTTACCTGTGAAATCCGTCCGCAATCCCAAGAATTCTGTCGTATGCATCGCCACCTTAGGGCTGTTAATCATCCTTCTAGTACGTTGGTCTTCGGATGCTTTCGAGTCAATAATTTTCAGCAAGGATGCTTCCGAGCCAAGCGTTTTCAGCAAATTTGTGGATTCGACTGATTCTATGTTCCAAGACATTAATGCAGTTAGTCTTCCAGGTAGATATGCTTTATGCATTCATAACGTGCGTCAATCATAAATAAATTTTTTTTTTTTTTTTATATAGGATCAAACGAAGTCATGAAACACACTGTGGCGTGTAGGCGAGCTGCAAATATGGTTGAAAGAGATCCAGCTTTCAGAAACAGTGGCCACATAATTGCCACTAAACTTCGACAATTCGGTGAGAAAGTTAATGATGCAGGGAATGACCTACAGATAATGTATCGCAAAGGATCCTTCGTCTTTGAAACTTTTAAAATTGAAATTGAAGCCATGATGGACAGACTCGATACTCAGGATCGCAATAAAGGCGAATTCTTTAGGGAAAGAATCAAAAAAATGACTTCGACAGTCCAAGATTTTAGTAAAAAAGTTAAGATAGCAAAGGATTCTATGTTGAATGCAGAAAATCATCGTGATGGTCTTGAGAAGGAAATACTTACCGGAATTAGGGAAGCAGAAAAGTTTATAGAAACTGGATATTATAATTCAGTCGATTTGAGGAAAGCCAAAGATGGACTTGGTGCAATTAATGAGATCCTGTACCATCTCCATAATACGGCTGTTCATTTAGATGAAATAATTAAGAAATTATGAAATTATGAAAATAAATTAACTGATGTACAGGCTGAATTGTCTGGTATTTTTGTTGTTACTAAAAGCGATTTTAAATTTTTATTAGTTGCTGTGCAAGCTTTGCAGCGTAGTCATCATAAATTTATGGCAAAAGAAGATAGTTAAAGAAATATCATAGAATATCAAATTTTAAGATTGTAACATAGTTATTTTTTTTAATAAAAATTTTTATTATAACAAAAAAGCTCTGCTTGACGATAAGACGAGAACCCGAATATTCACCATTGACTGTATTTTGTGTTAATGTATTCTGTTCAGAGACATATATTGTAAGAGCAACTCCCAACTTTTTTTTATAAGCCATTTATGTAGTTCATTTGGATAAAACTTATGAATCAGGAAAACAATAAAAATTTTCTATATTATATGCTAATTGTTCATATTTTACACTTCTGAAAGAAAGCGTTTGGACGCACTTTTTTAATAATTGTAAAAAATTTTGTATAACAAACCTCCGATTTTTTTTAATCAGTTTGTAGACTAGGTTCTTGCAAATACACAAACTTACATGATTCTAACTTGCATGTAAAATCAAAACAATCGATCAAATTTCAATTCAATATCTTTAGGCCATCATTTACTTGAAACGCATGTTTCTATTCTTCTCAGTATGTTTTCAATTAAATTAAAATATCTTTCTTGATAAATTTTCGACCGTTACTCTTTCAAATTAGACTCCAAATCCATTGCATTTTAGGATGACTAATTCTTTTTTCAGTCGCCTTTCAAAGATGCTCAATTGATTAAAATCTGGTGATTTAGAAAGCCTAAAATATTTGCTCGTGTAATTCAGACAACTCTTCGTTTTTTGTCCTAACAATTTATAACAGTTTGTTTATTTTTAATTGCTTATTCTTTTTAAACGTGGTAGAATTACAAGAATTTACATGTTAATAAACTTTGAGGAAATAAAAAATGATTGAATTTTGTTTTTGGAAAAAAAAACCAATTGTCTAAATTAAATGCCCGGTTTTACGCATTCATTGTATGTTTAACCTACACAATTGTCAAATATTCTGTCAAAAATTTTATATACATGTAAATTTTTTTTGCGATAACAACGGTTTATTTTAATCTATAATATCAGAATAAAAGATTACATAATCACTCATCTATAAGCAAACCTAGATGATAATAATTTTATACCGCACCATTATCATTGTTTGCGTTAATGTTGGTATTATTGATGTTAATCATGTGCTGAAATGAATCTTTGAGAAAAAATTCAGTCATATTAATAATATACTAATACGGATTGGCTGATAGTAATAGCTTTTTTAATATTAAAGGCTGACGAATTACAGATCAAAATTTTAGAGATTATAGATAAAAATCTTAATATTTAAATTTATTATTATTTTGAATTCAACATTCTTTGCACCTCATTTTTGAAATGCCCAAAAACAGTCAAATGAGCACGACTTGCGTACTAAGTGAAAGGTTTCCTCGTAAGAATTGCAATAGATATCATAGTTTTCGCATTGAAATAAATTTATTTGCTCAAACACGCCGCGGTTTGTGGTTTTCGAATTTAAATACGTTTTAAAATAGTTTTGGAATTCGTATTAGGCTTTCAAGTGGAAGTTAAAATCTTCAGACTTTTAAAAATTGTTCTCCTTCGACCTTTCTTTAACTTCTATGTAGAGTACTAAGTTTCTCTGATAAAATTTTTGCTGACATTCTCTGAATCTAAATAAAGACACAAGGGAGGATTTAAGTAAAGAAAAGAGGATAGGAGGCCAGTTAATGAAATAAAATGAACTAAACCCATCTAAACCAGTTTTCTGCTTATCATTTGGTTTTATTGTTAGGATATATTTTTTTAAGTGGACTGTTAGCATCATCCACCTCACAATTTCATTTAAAAATCTTGTCTTTCCAATACCATACCACTAGCCCGACTCTTTTTGTAGTCATCCTTTGAATTTGCACATTTATGTCAAATTTCAAATGCATTCTGTACCAATTCCCTTATAACCTCATCTGTTACTCACGTTCAACATATTTGAATCTATTTCCAACTTCTTGTACAGTAGTAACTGTTGACGTAGTAGATGATTGAAACATATGGTGGAGTTGAATAAGACTTTATTTTCTTTATGATATCTAGGAATAAATTGTTGAGAAAACATAATCTGCAAAGAAAAAAAAATTCATCAAGAAAACTTATCTTTATAATTTTGTTGAACATTGTTGTCTTTATGGATCCTCTCATTCTCTGCATAGTAGATGAAAAGCAAGGACAAATAATAAAATTATGGTAAGAATCTGAAAGCATAACAATTCTCGATGTAAACTAGTCGAATATGTGAATGTTCCCACAAATAGATAAATAAATAAATGAAATGGAATGAATGGAAATTGTTTTTTTTTTTTTATCATGCAATTTGTTTATTACCTTTCCCTTCATTAACTCCTTATTCCACTACACTGCTTCATCCCCACATTTCATCTTGTTTTTTGTCAGCTCCTTTTTCTTTTTCTCTAAATAGTCTCTCTCCTCTTCTAAAACTTCACTCTTCACCTCCAAAGTTTTTTTCCTTCCTCTCCTTTTTCTTCACTTATTTTTATTCTCAACTCCCTCAAATCGTTCTTCAACTCCTTTAACCTCTTCTCATTCTCTTCCTCCCACTTCTTCAACTCCTTTACTGCCCCCATCTAATTTATTATTTGTTTTATTTAATTCTTGTTCAATTTTTTCAATTGTTGCCATTTCATAAGAAAAAAATTTTATTTTGATTTAGATCGTAATTGTTGTTTCGTACATGACTTGGAATTTATTTACGGAAAGAATAAGAAAATTATATTATTATTATACAAATTCGGATGGCGGAATAAAATCAACATCATGAAAGGCATTCATGATGTTAGTATATTTCGAGAACCTGATTTCAAAAATCTTTTTGTTAAATATTCATTTATTGTTTTATTAAACTATTTTTTAGAAAGAAATCGTGAAATGGTCAAGTAAACTACTTGACAGACGTCGATTTTGTTATGGAAAAAATTAAAGAGAGATTTCCCGTAATAATAACATTTGTTTACGGAGGGGCCCGTAATGTATTAATTAAAAAATGGAAACGATTCTATATACTAATTATTGGTTATTTATAAGGATACCGGCTGCAACTTTTGATGATGGTTGCTACCACCTTTGCGTCATATAAAAATGATTGCAACCACTGGTTGCAACCACCTTTACGACCATTTTGTTTCCTTTTTTGGATTGCGACATGGAACACTAGTTATTTAACCAATTAACAGTTCAAAAAAAGATTTGAAACCAGTTAAATTGCACATCACTGATATACTGTGATCCAAAATGGGTAAATTTTGAAATTTAATTTAATGTAATTTACTAATTGACTAAGAGATAGTTCATTTATAATTACCCGGTGTCCTATCTGGATATTTCCAATGAATACAAACACTACACAAATCTTGCTAATAAATTATTGACTGGCTACCTTTTTAATATTAACTAGTGATCGACAATATTCGAATATTCAATGAATATTCGGTACTACATATCGAATTAGGAATGATCATTATAACCCGATGAAATGTTTATTACAGAACAAAATCGTAAAATTTTGTTTGACACGTCCAATTGCAAGTATAAGTAGAAATAAATGTCCAAATATTACGTCATTATGAATATTTACAGATTTCTGATTACTTGGGTGTGCCTTTTATAATAAAGTCTTTTATTTTAAAAGTAAATATGATAAATAGATATTAAAATTTTTTTTTACATTTATTCCTATATACATATGTAAATAATGATTAGAGCAATAAACAACAACAATAATGATTAAATTTATCTTTGACTTTATTATTTATTTATCATATTGATGTTATTAAATATAAGTTAAAATAAAAGAGAAGTTTATATAAACTATTGAATAATTGATAAAACCTTTGTTAGAATATTTTGTTCATAGATCTTGTCCTTAAAGCTTACTTTGATCACTCCTACACAAACTATTAAATAATTGATAAAACGTTCATTATAATATTTTGTTAATAGATCTTGTCCTTAAAGCTTACTTCGATTACTTCTACACAAACTATTGAATAATTGATAAAACATTCGCTAGAATACTTTGTTCATAGATCTTGTCCTTAATGCTTACTTTGATCATTCCTATACAAACTGGATCTTAATCTTTATTATCATCCTCAAAAATGATGATTCATGCTACTAATTATAATATTATTGATTGATAGATCTTCATATATTACAAATGTAACCAATCAAATCAATTATTATTATTAAATATGATGATCATTTCTAATTTGATATGTAGTACCAAATATTCAAATATAAAAGATCTTTGTACAAATACCAAGTGACAATAACAATAACAACATCAATAAAAAAATTTTTAACATGTCTATTTTCTTTAAAATAAAAGAAAAGGTCAAGAACTGAATGAAATCACCGAGTAAGTTTTATTATTGAAAAGAGTGGTGGTTATTTCCACTTGTCATCACTCTAGTTTATTACTAATTAATTTCTTTCCTTTCTTTTTAAAAAAGTTATGATGCATAAACAGCAAACAAAAAGAGAAAAAATAATGCTGGGTGGGAAAGAAGTAAGTCAGTTTAGTAAGCATTGTCAGAGGGTGATTGCTTAAAGCTATTCTAGTTTTGTAATACTAAGATTTTCTTAATGTTTACCTTTTAAACAAAAAAATAAAGTTGCATAAAAATTGTATATATAATTAATTTTTATGCAAGTGAAGCACCAAAAAGCCAATTTGTTGTGCATAACTTGTGGCTGCTGCCAATCTTTTTGAGGGTAAATTTGAAGCAGGGTTGGCAGATTGACTGGTCCATTGAGAACTGATAGATTTTGAACTGGCCATTGCCATGAATAAAATATTGAATATTTACACTAATGGACCCAATGGACCATCAATTTGCCAACCCTGGTTTGAAGTACACCCAGAAAAAAACATCCCAGGCCTGAATGGACATGGACTGTCGATTTTTGGCTGGTTCTACTTCAGACTTCTAGGATGGCCGGCATTACAGAAGTTAAAAAGATGGACTTTTTACAAGGAATCACTCAGAATGCAGTGCAGTGCGAATCAACCTTGTTGAATAATGAATTGTAACCAATTCAGAGAAATGGTTGTTTTTAGCATGTTCATTTAATGGACAAGGTAAACCAACCTTCAAATTATCCAAGTCTAGTGATGTTGGCTGGCTAAGGATTTTTAAACGGCTAGCATCACTATCCAAGCCAGCGATCATTTATATGGTAATATGGAAGATAGAGTGAAAAAGGTACTTGGTTACATGCGTGGTTGCTCAAAAGCCAGAAGAATTTGACGATCATCATCAATTACTACTCTTCTTCCAGTAATTTAGATGCGCAATTACGAACCTCTCATTCATCTCCAAGAAAGAAAGGTAATAATTATATTAATTTTAGTTATAGTAGCTGTGATTAATTATTTGATGATTTTTATTAAATGTTTATTTTTCATAATTATATATATAGTATTGTCAAAAATTGACACGACTCTATTAGTAGATTAAAAGATGATGTTGGTGTTAACGAAAGTAATAATAACAATAATCGTGAAGTTACATCAGAAATTAGATTAATAGATTTTTTTTTTAATATTTTTTTTTTTTAAAAAATCATTAAAGCGCAAATTCATGATTGTAGTAATGTTTTCATATTAGAATTTTGATCATAATTTCAACATTCATTCATTGTTCATATTAATAATAGAGTATAGTCAATATTTAAACATAATTCGAATAAAATTATATACTACTACTATTATTATTATTTATTATTATAATTAAGTTGCTGTATAATTAATCGTTGTTGGGAAAAATGATGATTACGTTTATAATTTTGAGTCTACATAATTTGATTTTAGAAATCAAAAATTTTATGCTCCAAACAACTTAAATCCCAAAAAGCACAGTTCATGTTACAAAACTGAAGTTGAAAACAATAAATATGCTCCAAAAAAAAAAAATATGCTGAAGATAACGGTATAGAAGTTTTTTCAACCAGTACAATTCGCAGAAATTTGTACGAGCTTAAGATTTTCTCCAGAGTCGACAGAAAATGTCTTCAAGGACGAATTTCGCTTTACAGATAACTTTTAGAGTGATAGTCCCACGCATAAAGTAAAACGTGGTTTTTCCAAAAAGAAATTGGGACTATTATCAAATTGGATTAAGGAAAAAAATATTACAACTCTACCAAACTGGCATTTACAATCTCCAGATGAAAGGCGGTTAAATAAACGTACATTGTATTCAAAAAATCCCAACAAGTTGGAAGTTTGCTATTTCGTCGTCATAGATATGTTTCTCGCGTTTTTGTTGACGAAAATGGCAAAGAAATGAATTTGTGAAGGAAAGGTCAAGGCATGCATTTCTAGCAAATGGGTCGGTCAACTCGATTTATTTTTTAAACTTCGCCGAATTTTGTTGAAATATTTCTAGAAGTTTCGCTTTATATGCAAACTAAGCTAACATAATAATATAGTTTTTACGTGGAAAAAACATTTAATTTTAAATGAAATTTCAATTGAACAAAATAATATACAATATATAATTATTGATTCATAACACGATTTATTTATTGTTAGTATTAGTGTTAGTGTTAGTCTGATCCGTTGTTTGTTAATGATGAAGCGTACGCTAAAATCCATTTAATATTAGCCAAAGTATACTTGAGTGCTCTAGTCCATTCCTCTGGATTGAATTGTAATCTTATAGAAGCATCATTAATCTTATCTTTGTTAATTCTATTTATATTTATATATAAATATAAGCAGTCTTGTAAATAATATAAATTAATCAATCTCTCATTAAAAAAACAACATGTATAAATTAATTTAGTACCGATATGGTAACTTCAATTTAGAATCTTTACTTTCCACACATTCACCTAATTGTTGTAGACAATTCAAAAATCCTACCATCGCGCTATCAAAACGACGATTTTGAAATAATCTTCCTGTTGCTATATCACCTGTGCCATACCTATATTTCAAAATCAAAAATGTGATTATATATATAAATTTATAATAAACATAACTATTAAACATTGACTTACAATTCATAACTCACTATATTATCACCATCAATTTTTTCAACTCGCGAAAAAGAACCCAAAGGAATTAATCTGTAACTGAAACAAATAAAAAATAAGAAATTGTTAATTAAAAGGTTGGTTTTCAAAAGATTTATTTGGTATATATGTAAGTGAATATGCATAATATATACTTTTTGAATGTAACGTTAAGTTTATTAGCAATTGTTACCAACAATAATAATGTTTGACCCCATGCAGCATTAATTTCATGCCATTCCACCTAAATAAATAGAATATGAAAAACTTAATATTCCAAAATTCCAAAATTCCAAATATTCTAAAAAGAAAATTAATTAATTAAATTACCGTGATATTAGGTAAACGACCAAGTCTAAATCCATTTATTGTCCCAAAGTTTCCATCATGCCCAATACAAAAGGTATCATTATAAACATTAGTTTTATGTAATTTTTCTAATAATTTAGTATCATGATCATATTTTAAATTTATACTATCCCTTTCATTTTGAAAGGTTTGAATTTGAATATGAAAATTATTAAATTCATTCCAATAACTATTAAAAATTAAAAATAATTAAAATGATGATGATGATGATGATGATGATGATAATATAATAATAAATAATAAACATCCATAGATATATGTATGTATACCTCTCTTCAAGTTTATCAAGTTTACTTATTTCAGTTTTCAACTTTCCAATTTCTTTTTTCAATATTTCTCCCTCTTTTTCAATATCTTTTAATGTGTTAATTGCTGTCAATTCATTATCTTTAATCTATGCAACATAAAATAATAATTACTTTAATAACAATATATATATATATATATATGGAAGAAGAATATTATGAAAAATATGTGTAATATTTGTAAATTGCCATCAATAGCTTACCTTTTGGATTTCTTTTTGGATTTTTTCTGCATCAACGTCACCAATAATGCTTTTGTTCGCTTTTTCTAGAAAACTTTTATAAAAATCTCGTTCTTTCGAAGCATCAGTTAATTGTCTATTCAAGTTACCCAACAAAATGTCAACACACTCCTGACAAATTGGATGTGACGGCTCAGATCTTGAATTCATCAGGTCAAAAAGTCGATTAGTAATTTTTAAATGACAACTGATGCTAGCTCGTTGTCTATCATCATTAGTATCCTTATCGGGTAAATGTGAGCGTGGTAACATGACATAAGATTCTGATGGTGTTAAATAAGATTCTTTCTGACTCGAACTTGAATTTCTTGCCATTTCACGAGATTTACCTGTAGAGGCAGATCGTTTTTTAGCGAGTTGGTAACCACCATTATTTTTGGTTTCATTCTTCTTCTTTTTCAAATCGAAAATTGGTTTATCATGATCAAATTCTAGAGCTGAAACTGATTCTTCGGGTAATGATGCTGAATCAAATTGGTTAATAAGTGCTATTTAGTTTTTTGATTTAATAATAAATAAAATGTGTAATGAGAAAAATCTGTAAGCATGCATACATAACAGTATATCTATTGAATATGCGTTGAGGTCTAGCGGAGAGTTGCTAGTTTTTAGGGGTAGTTTGCAGTTTTGACAGGTAAAGTAACTTGTTGAATCCATATTTTCTTGAAAGATTTTGATGTTACGATTATTGAATAAAAAAGGAAATTCCAAATGCGCACACAAAAATACATTTTGATCAGACGACCTTTATCTTTAGGGATAGTGAGTGATAGATAACTAATTTGTGTAATTAATGATGTAATTTTAAGTTTGAAATATTGAAACTTGAAACAAACATGCAACAATTAATTTATATAAAAAGTGAAAGTAATGAATTCGAAAATTAATTAAATTTGGACATAAAGCAATATTAGAATGAAAAATACATAAAAATCAAAACCTTTTATAATGAAAAAATTTAAAATACATAAGCTTCTCAATTACTCTTCTCAAAGATTAACCCATTATGATCCTTTACATCGACTGCCCCGCCAATAAATTAGCACTGTGAAAGAATAGTCAATACTGGTGTCACTACCATATGCTTTATTACCGCTGTATAGATCACATTTATTAAATATCTCTGGTAATATCGAATGCCATTCTTTTCAAAATCTAAAGTGGCATTGAAACCACTACAAGAGGGGACAACTCACTTTTGTAGAAAATAACGCATCACCTTCCCTGAAGCACCATTCAAATTGAAAACCTTTCCACAAATCATCGACATCTTCCAAGTATTTTCAACTGTCAAAGAGTTTACTTGATTATTCATAATTTATTGCATTGATAATTTTATTGATCTTTTGTCTTTGCTCTCCAAGCACATTTGGTATATTATATGCTTGTAATAGTAATCATTTATGTTTGCGGTTCAATTGTTTATGTGAAATGAACAAATGCTAAACAAAACTACAGTAACCAATTTTCATATTGGTTATTTGGTGTGAAATTTAAATTGGCCAATTAAAAATTAGAGGTATTTGGTTAATTTCCTTTTAATTCACATAATACATATAAACGGTCATTTGTTTATATTATCAAGTACTTTAAACAATTGATTGCTGCGTTCAACTTACAATATAGTCAAGCCTCGTTCAACGAAGTGGTTGGACATGTAAGGAAACTTCATTCTAGTCAAATTTTTATGATGTGTAACAAGATTTTAAAAAACGCGAATTTCACTGAAACGAGGGTTTGACAGCATAGTGGAAGTTTGTTGTTACACGAAATCTCATACAGAACTCATTGCTCCTGAAACTTTACCAGTATATAGTTGTTACCTCTCTAAATTGGAGATCAAGTTCAGATCCAATTCAAATCCAGTTTATCACTTACTTTTTATTGCCAGAATGTTTGCCGTGTATTATAAAGCTACGTTGCACAATATAAAAAATTAGTGTGACATTTCAAATTTCCACTATGCTGGGTTTGACTGTCTAGATTTAAAAATTAAATCCCTCCAATCATACTTGTGTATTTATACTGATCATTTCAAATGTGAATATCCAGGATGTGCAAAAGCATTTTGTCAAAGTAGTGATTTACTAACGCACACAAGACGTCATCTTGGGATTAAAAATCATGGATGTGATGTACTTGGATATGACAAAAGATTTATTACAAAATTTGAACTCAACAAATATAAATCTAGAAATGGGGCATGCTGTAACAAAACCAGACAAAGTGAACATTGGTATTACCAAGGATTTCAGGGATCAAAATTTAGTCATTTGTAATGTGATCATAATTAACAGTTTTATAATGTCCCATTTGTTAAGTGATATATAGAACTAAAAATGAAACTCATTTATATCACATCTACTATGGAACTCAAGAATTATAGTACTATCAGAAGTATTTTAAAAAAAGAACAAGGTGAGAAAATTGCTCCTTATATTTCAAAATAAATGACACTTGAAGCTTACCTGAGAAAAGAAAGGATCACCTATGAAATTTACCAAGAGGAAAGAAAAATCATAAACATTAAGAAAGCAGAACGAAAATGTACTACTACCCAACAAAAAGCAAAAATCCTTACTAAAAGAAAACTCTTTATGCAAATGCGAGTAATAATAATCATATTGCATTGCTTATCAATAAAAAAACGTTGTTGCTTGAACGAATTTTATATTCAAGAATATGTTTTATAATAAATCGTTGTTTTTCTCTCATTGACATTGAAACATGGTAAATAATCCCGCCTTATATTGGAACATTATAAAAAACGTCACCAATTCGTTTGTTTTTCAGGTAAAAAGATTCTTACTTTCAATAGTGAACTTTTTGCAAGTTGTTGATTGGACTCTTTCTTGGTTCCTTGCTCCATTATAAAACTTATAAAAATCAACTCAATAAAATAGAACCAAGAAAAAGCCAATTTAAAAATAAAACAAACATACTTATTGGTGATAAAAAATATTCATAAGAAAATAGAAAATTATGGAAGGGTTTCAAGCAATTATTTGACAAAAAGACTGAATTGAATCCAGAATTTTCATTTAATGAAATGCCATTGAAGTTTGTAAATTATTCGTTGCTTCCACAATAAAAAATTTTTACCAACAGAAAACAAATCCTAGAAGGAAAACGATAGAAGCAATTGAATCAAATCAAATTTTAGAATGAGTGATTTGATTCAATTCAATTCAATTCAGTTCAATTCAAACTGAATTCCTAAATTTTTTTAATATTATATATTAAATTTAGTGTACCTTGATTTGGAAAATTGATAAAGGATATATCATTTAGTAATAATGGCCGAAACTATTTTGAAAAAAGATAGTTTCACCCAATATTTTTTTATAATAACAGAAGTAATTTTCACCCAATTTCAGCTATCATTAAAATTAGTTTTTCCCAAGTTTATGCCAATTAATTTCAGCAATTTCGGCCACCATAAATTTGACGTATATTATCTAAAGTTGTTGATGAAAGAAGTGTACTCAAATCAGCCTGATTTGAGCCTTGCTGTATTATATGAAAGATATTAGAATCATATAACGGATCAATTAATCGCAATTAATATAAAAATGATTATTAATTACTTTTCTACATGTAAAACTAATTCCTGATTTATGAATAGCGTATCGATTAACCACATCTAAGATTCTATTATATTCTTCACTGGAATTTTTCAATGCTTTTTTTCGCATAGGTACATTATAAAAGAGATCCTCTACCTAAGGTTTGATACAAATAATTATTCAGATCTTTTAGAAATATATTATTAGGCTATCTTTTCCTTTTTATTGTCAATGAAATATAATACCGTGATCTGGGTCCCTATATTACCAGCACATGGTTTTGGTTCTGGGTTAGCACCAGGTTTTGAAGAAACAAGTTTACCATCAGAATAACATGCTCTTTTTTTTTTTAA